GCAACCATTATGGAAATCCAAAGACATTCGAGCGTCGCTTTTATCGTTCGTCGATGTACAATGGACGATGTTGATTTCCATGGTTACACTATACCACGTGGTACGCATGTACTTATGAATATACGTTCTACTCATTACGATAAGAAGTTCTGGAACGAGCCTGAAAATTTCAACCCGGAGAGATTCCTGGACTGCGAGGGTAAATTGATCAGAAACCACTCCGCATTTGTGCCATTTGGAAAAGGTGGGTTTATTTATTTTTCATGCTCATAGTCGGTCGTAATATACATATGTTTCACATTGTTATCGGTCAGACTGGATTACCAATATATAATTGCCTCAATACAGACTGCGTTTTTTTCCATTACCACTCATTGCGTGATTCTGTCACATTTTATTTTATCACCTCAGTCACTCACTCCACTACACTGCTCGCATCTGGTGAAGTAGCTTGTGGCTGTGAAAGATTAAGCTAATGTTTGTTTTAGTCGGTCTAAAAAGAGGGTCGGCAAGGGGTATTTTCGTAAGCTGTAATCAATTGTTTTTATTTTTGTAATAATTAATTTAAATAAATAAAAATCGTAAATCCGTAGACGTGGGCAAGGTGGAAAATGTAATCAGCTAGTTTATTCGTCCGTAATTTGTACCACGATATTATTTTTTGTAAACATATAAAGCATTTTCCAAATCAAATGTCGTAATTTGTACGCAATTTTCAATTTTGATTCTTAAACCCAAATTATCAAAAATATTATTAAAATGTAATTAGGAATTTTCTTTATCTATAAAGTGTAAAAAAAACTATTTTTTACTTTAAATGAAATTTTCATTTTATTTCTTGTATAAACGTAAAATGACGTTTTTATTTCCTGTAACCTGTACCAGCTACCCCTCACCCCCTCTAAAAAGTGTTGATAATAGACCATTTCACGTTCAAGGCGGGTCCCGTGTTACGCGTGAAATCGAACATAAAAACAAAGGTCACAGCGTCGTAATGACTTCAAAAAGTCGCGTGGGATTCGACAAACGCAAAAATATTTCGGAGTATTGGTTTATGCTTTAAAATGAAGTGTATATTGGCAGCAAATTTCTCTCTAATGATCGGACATAAAAAAAAAATCAAATTCAAAATCACATTTTTCGATTTTCGCAACAGACGTTTGGTCCGCGTCTTTTAGCCAATACGCAAGATCTCGTTTGTAGTGAGCGGAAAATCACCTATTACTATATCCTTTAATTATGTGGACTGACACCGTCACTACTATATTTATAATTATTTAGAATGCTTTTATTAAAGTAACATTACGTAAATATTTTCTATTCCAGGTGGGCGTGCTTGTTTAGGTGAAAAGCTGGCTAAAATGGAATTGTTTATATTCTTCACGGCATTGTTACAAAATTATACATTTACAGTACCGGACGATAAACCATCTCCAAGCCTTAAAGCTCAAGTTGGAATTAACCTGTTTCCCGAGGCTTTTGAGGTTTGCGCCACCAGGCGAGGATGACGGATTTTTGTCTACGGCTGAAGCGATATATATACAGTACATATAATATTAAATGTATTTTACATGTTTATACTATTTACATAAAACCGTTTTTTTTCAACTGAAAATTTATTTGTAATTCGTAGAATTATAGTACTTAATTTGATTTGTACAGTAATGTAATTGAGTACTTGATGTTTTCACCAACTAATTTACGTAATATAGTGCAATTTGAGTGTCACCGGTCAACTTAGTTACACAAATATATCAAACACGCACACGCAATGAAAACATGCAAATAAGAAAAACATTTAACAGTTACTTATTTGCGTGCAGTATACGTAATCATATCATTTACATATACTAGTAGTTGAATAAATATTGATAATTGCCGACTTTTACACACCTGCCACACAGCAAACATGCTTTTACTAATTATTGTTTGGTGGAATAGTGAACTGCGCAGTTTGCATAAATTAATTGCCAGTACGTAGTATCTTTTCAGTGCGCATGCACGTCGAACGAATACTATTGGTATTGTATTGTCTTTGTAAGTGTTCAAATTACGTGAATTATCGAAAAACTACAGAATACTTAAAATTACTGAATTACAGTCATGGTATCTAGCACTGCAATCGTTGTAGAAACCATGGGTAACATTTTGGTGAGAAAAACACGATATAATGCGTATAATAGGATGTGTTAACCCTAGCAACCACGCTCATAGCAACCAGCTGATATGCTATAAACATGTTATATAGCTCAAATTTTAAAAAAATACACATTCATAAAAGTATTTTGCTTCAGTATTAATTATATACATTTTATTGCCACTTAATGTACCAAACCTCATAATATTTAGCAACATGCCAACCAACTGCATTTAGATGAAATAATTTAGCTAGCCGGTCTTGTTTCCATAGAGATAGTTATTTAATGATTTCTTCATAGCTCTAAATCCCACTCTTGCGGCCATTTTGAATTGAATTTGATAGGCAGGTAATATCTTCTTCCACATGACATAAAATTCTAATCACCAAACTTTGAAACATATTTAAATTTAAGAAAAAACTTGAAAAACTAGTTCCGATCTGTCCGGCTAATCACAAAAGAATTTACCGTATTCACAAATAATTTAAATTGTTGTTGAGTCTGGGTTTGCTAAAGAGGGATGAGGATGGTACAAGCATACACACACAGACGGTGTTTGGGTACAGTACCCCCTACTAATCCTACTATTACTAATTTAAAACCATAAAATTTTACTGAAGAAACCAGTGGTTTGTCCCTCTGACAACAGGCGTTGGCAATGTCAACGGAACACTTTATTTTTTCAAAATGAAATTATTTTGTCCATGTTTATTTCTGTCACACGCAACGTAATATTATCGTAATTGGTATAGTACAGGTGTGATGGTTCAAATACCAAAATGGCAACAGTAACAAAAAGACTTCCCTGGCGGCGATGATAAAATACGAACACGGAGCCAACTGGTACTGGTATTATTATACTCTGCAAACATCAAGTACAATAATGCGGTAAAACTCCACTACTCCAATAACTAGATACTCCAATACAATTCAACGAGATCTCCGATCTGATCTCAGTGCTGAACAACTCCCCTATATATACCCACACTGTCTATAAATAGACCATTACATCAGCATACATAATGAGTCTGGAACTTACTACAAATTTCTAGAATGTTCCATTACCTTCTATTACTTTCTACAGTGTCCTATTACCTATTCAACCAACTTCTAAAAATTCCACCCAGACACAGTACGGTTCTAGAACATTCTCAGTCACACGGAAGTGGTAAACAAGTCGTATGCGACAATTTCATTTATGCACGAAATGTGTGACAATGTAGTATTGTGATGATAATATAGAAGGAAAACGTATGCATATCCCACGATAATACGTTTTCCTGTTATATTATCCATTGAGGAAGAAATTGATTCTGTTCATGTCTTTTTATAACAGTCCTCAAAATATTCTATAGTATCGCCATCGATGCTAACAGATGTTGGTGCAATATCTGATCTGTATATCTTCTTTCTCTGTGGAAACCTGTTTGTACTTGCCTCAATGTGTCATATATGGCATGGCCTTGTCCATTCGCTTCAGCAGTATCCTGCAGAACCCTTTGCTAGGTACAGAAAAAAGTGCTATACCTCGCCAGTTCCCGATTTTCGAGAGTTTGAAGATGAGGTCCTTGCTCCAAGCATACTCCCAGATCTGTTTGAACAGGTCTGAAGAAGAATTTAGGCATTTCATGCTGGATGGTAGTAATGCATTGTGTTTTTACATCCCCGATAGCTCTGATGGCAGCTTTAACCTCAGCTTGAGTGGATGGGTTAGTGTCAATGCCTATGACGTTCTCTGTTGGCCACTTAGTTGTTTTGTGATCTTGTAAATTTTGCGCAGTTCTTGCTTTGCTGCAGCTTTCTGTCTCACTTGATATATCCTCCAAATAGATTATTTTGTCCCAACAAGTACTCCGTTTCACTTCTCTTATAATGAGACAAATCTAGACACCAAAAACATTAACAATTGATCCAGTATTTGCCAAGTTATGTGCAATTTTATTAATTTTAGTCAAATCTCATATAGTTGCTATGATAGCCACATCCTTTGAATGGCTCCGAAAAACAAAACTGATACCACAATTTCGAATCATATACTACCAGGGGGTGTTCTAGAAGGTCCATTCTACCATATTATGTAGGCATGCCTTACATGTAGTGTATGTTGCACGAAATTCCTATTTTGAGCCTACCAATGTTATAAAGATTTTGCCGATAAACTGTCAGTTATGTATGTCGGTACAAGTAGACACATAATGAAAGATCTAAAACCACTCAACATAACTATATAAATAACTATCGTTCACCATGTCTAATTATTGTAACTTGTGAAATTTATACTTTTTATTGTGCAAATTAGTACACAATAAGATTTTCTTTGAAAAGCCGAGCTTCTCTACACATAGACCAAATACGTTAAGTACCCACGGATGGGGTACTTATATTGTAAAAGTATACGCCTATGCGCCACTGTTTTAATCCACTACTTTCACGGTCGAGCCGATCCTTTTGACCCAGGGTATTTTAGCAAAATTTGGGCCATGTTTTGATGCAAAAAAACGCCTTCGTCGTAAATCTTATTGGGTCCAGTTTCTAACTAGCTGTAGAGCACTCCCATTAAATTATGGCGTGTACCCCCAATTTTAAAAATTAAAAAGAATGATTTTTCAGCTTTTAAAATCGAATAAGTAAATAGCATCCATTCAACAACACAGGTAAATTTGGCTTCTTGGATACTCATTCTGAATATATCAGTCCGCCCTTTAAAACCAGGTGGTTTTCGCTAACTTTCACAAATATGGAACCTGGTTATTCGGGTCGTATTGCATGTAAATAAAACAGTCTGAAATACAATAATGTCATTCCTTGCAAAAAGTTCTCAGAAACTTATGAAATATCAACTAATAAGTAACTCGGAAAGACTCATCTCCTAATGGCACATATATTAAATGGATGTGGTGTTAAAGTGATTCCCACTCTTGCTTTTAAACTTGGAGTTGGTCCACCTTCTGGTATCGTAAACTTAAACTGCTGTAAAAGTGCTGAAAAAAAGAGAAACAGCTCCATCTTGGCGAGTTGTTCACCGAGGCAGATACGCCGGCCTGAAAGAATAAAACAAATACTCAGATGTAGATGTTATTTTTACAATATTGCAAACACACAAGTAATATCAGAGAATGATGATAAGGTATCAAATAATAGAATCAAGGACGTGATCGTTTCTTGTATGTACTGACGATGGGGGCGCTTGTCGTGTGCGCATTGTTTAATGTATATGTATCACCAAAACAAGTGATACACGTGCGTATTCGAGTTTGTCGAAAATTGTACTATTCAAATTAATTATAATTCAATGTTTTCATCAAAATGCAGTGTCTAGTAAAAATATTTTCATCCACATTGAAAATGTAAATAAGTACTGTGGCAAAATACAAGGGAAAGGTCTGTATTCAGGAGCTATGATTTGCATATTTATGAGTAAACGTCATGAAAACAAATGACTAATCAGCGCTTGTTTTAGAGCGAGGGCACTGATCTTCTGTTACTACTAGCAGATGGATTGGTTCCCTGTAAAAGAGGGAGGCAAGCTGATTGGTGCATTTGCAAACTACTGAATACTAACAATGTAGGCGTGCTTTACTGCTGTTTCTTGTGCTAACCACCAGATGTTCTAAAGTGACCGGGGTTTTGCGACGATGAATCTGGTTGTTGATCTCAAATCATTCTCACCTGTTCCAAACGGTATAAAAGCGTCTTGTTTAACAACTTTTCCGTCGTCTCCAATAAATCTTTCTGGTTGGAATTTATAAGGTTCTTTCCAGTGTTTTTGGTCGAAGTGGGCAGACCAGATATTCAAATAGACCAACGTCCCCTGTGGTATCACGTAATCATGGAATTCTGTGTCCCGTGTAGTGCAATGACGTGACAGTGCCGCAACATTTGCCATACGTTGAATTTCCATGATGGTGGCTTCCAAATAAGGCAGCTTACGTTTATCCTCCAGGCATGGTAGACGATCATGTCCGACATTGTCATCAAGTTCTGCATGAATCTAACATAAATTGACATGGAGTAGAATCAGCCCGTAGCATACAAGTGGAAATCAACAAGGTAACAAACCTTAGACGCAAAATGGCCACAACTAACTGAGATCGGCTTTATTCACTATTCCAATTCAAAACAACACTTGACAATTATATCAACCAGTTGTTCCAATCACTAATTGCCTAACATACGAATGAACCTGATCATGACAAGTTACGAGCAGGTGTGGGTTATCCAGGTGTCATCAGTGAAAGTCGCTATGACTAAAAAAAGCGGCCTCACCGAAATACATGAAAATATAAATCATGACAGAATACTGAAATAGAATTATCAATATGAGCAAGTTTGCAAATCATAAATCAGTTGAAAATCACGTATGTGGTTACCTTTTTCTGAATGTCAGGGTACGTTACCATATACAACAGTCCCCATAGCAACGTAGTGGTGGTGGTTTCAGTGCCAGCAACAAAGAGATCGCGAATACTTCGATACAATAAGAAGTCCGTGAACTTGATCTTGGCGTCCATCCGGTGTTGTCTCTCCATCTCAGACAAATACATGTCGATAAAATCGCGCATATTGTCAGGGTCAAAGGTCGCGCGATGCTCCTCAATCTTACCAAAAATAAATTTGTGTATTTCTGCATTTATTTGTTTATATTCTCGATACATGAACGGGAGATCGATAAGAAATGGCAAAAAATTTCCAACGAAAGTGCCAGAGTCGATGCGGAATTGTTCATTGATGATATGAAGCAAATAATGGAAGACCTCATCGGAGTATTCGTAGCGAGTCCCAAAACTTATGGAGCATATGATGTTGGAAGCTGCGTTGTTAATCACGTGACTGACATCAAGCGGGTGGCCATTTTCTTTTGCGATGTAATCTACAAGGTGGTCAATTTCCATATGGATCTTGGCTTCCAGACTTTTTTTGCCCACGCCAAAACTACGGAACGCTGACAGGGCAAATTTTCTCTGTTCTTTCCATACTGGACCATAATCCTGGAATATGTAGCCTATGAAGAATTGAAAACGTTGTGATTGAGATACTTCACTGCACCATTAAAAGCGTTTGTTTCAAATGTTTATTAAATTAATGTTTCAAATGTTTATTAAATTTATTTAAAGGCATTCCATTCAGAGCATTTGGTTAGTTTGCTGCAATATCACATAATCATTTCAAAACATTGCACAAAGCTGTGTAAAAGCCAGCCTATCATGGTTAAGGTTGGACCATCTTAAATCATGGTGGTATATGTTTTGAAGGGAACAAGTTGGAGAAGGGTGGGCATAAAGTTTTTAAAAAATCCTTGTTTAAGAGAAAGAAAAAAAACAGCAACTTCATGCGTAAAAAAAAACGTTTCTAAAAGCAATGAATAGTAAGAAACAATATTTTACTATATATATTGCTTTGCCTGTCACCTGCCACATTCACAACCCTGTATGGCCATGTAAGCATGCAAAATAAATACTAAAGAGATTTGGTAGGAATCAGATTGGTCGTATCATGGGTCTATCAAATACGGGAGAACAATTCAATATTAAATTGACCTATAAAACGTCTAAAATCCGACTTTCGAAAACATGTCATAAAAACTATGCATACCTGCTTTTTTGAGAACTTTTGTTATCATTCCAGGACTTGGCCGACCAGCAAAGTGTTCCCCTTTCTGTACAAATGCTTCCTTGATGACATCATATCCACACAAAACAACACAATATTGAAGTCCCAACTGTATGCTATAAACGTTACCTACAGAACACAGACGCGTCTATAAAAAGCTTTAATTTCACAGAAGACGGTTTATTTGTGCAAGTAAAAATGTAACGGCTCATGGTGAATATACAACGCCCGTTATCTTTGTTTCATGCATCAAATGAGGGCGCTGGCAGCAATGCCGCCCTCACAGTTGCAAAGCTAAAATCTTACATAGTCGTGGGACATAGACGACTTTTCCGGAAATAGCGAGACTGGGGTGCAAATATACTTATGCTTTGTCATGGCTGAAAATACAAACATGTCAGCTTGCTGATAGTCGATAGAAGGGAGTTTTATTTTTGTGACGGTGATTGGTGCGCCCACAAGCACAATATCACGCGTGCAAGTTTACGTTACACCCCAAAACGACATGCGCGCGCATGCGAAACACTGTATCTTCGTCTTCAGCGAAAGTCGTCTATTAACGTCCAAATGTGGAAGCACCCGCTACGATCTGGCACACTTTGGGGTTTGGGGTGATTACGTCATAAAATCATAGACACTGCCCAATGTTTCACATGCATTGATTGGGCGACATGGGCCGGGGACATGGGCTAGTGTACTTATCTTAGGAGTCAGCCATTTGATGTCATGGGGGACTGGAAGAGTGTGACCAGTACAATTGTTTTTGCAGTGTCTCATCTAACCATCTTGATTGTTCCAATAATGCAACCCTGCAACAAATTGCTAGATTTTTTTCTCTCGGTGTCTAACTTTCATTTTTATTTTTTTAAATCTCCCACCACGATTTCAAATAGTTGACCCTTAAGACAGTGTCTGGGACTTACCGTATGTACTTGCCAAGTTCGTAAGGGTGACATGAGACTCTGTGCCGAGATTGAATAAACTGCCGATGATTGGCCATCCTGGTGGCCCGTGTGGAAGACCGGGTGGCTTCCTGAGTAGCAGGTAAAACGTCACTGCAGCTATTGCCAGAATCAAGATTATTTGTAGCATTATCTGTCCACGGCACACACCCCCTTCGAATCATATACTGTTATACGCCAGTCTCGTGACCACACTTGTGATATATTGCGTTCAAGGAAAAATCATAAACATACACGCGTAATGTCGCTAAATAATGTCACCCTGTGCGAACAGCGCCCTCTTCAGTAACGGCCAACGATGGCTACCGGTACACATGTATATTACAATTTCATTTCCCGTTTTCTATTGTATTCTATCCACTCATTTTTTGACATTGGAAATAAACGATACATAACTGTTCAAGCTGAGGGTCAGTCGCCCATCATCATTTCATCAGATTTCTAGACGATCCGGCCCTAGTTGGTTGCGGCCCTGGTAAAAAAAAAGACGTTCCGGCCCTGGTTTGGACGTTCCGGCCCCAAAACAGTTTGGTCGATCCGGCCCGTGTATAAATTATATTCGATACGTGTTCGTATCTAATGTTATTATATTAAATACACGAATGTCTGACTATCTTGTTTAACAACTTATTTGTCGTCATTTGCAGGGCATTTTTCACGATTTAACACAGTGTTTGACAGTGCAACAGATATATGTTCATTTATTCGCCGCCTGCGTGAACCACAGACAATAGAATACACATCTAATACAATCTGTTTTTGTCAGGGTTCGAATGCACATTGGTGGTTTGTCGAGTAATGAACGTTAATACATTAAATGCACAACGAATGTATGACTATCTTATTCACAACTTATTTTCCGTCTTTTGTGGGACTTATCAGAGTTCATGGAAAGAATGTAGCCAATTAACACTTACATTTTAGCACAATGCAAGGGCCGTACACACCTTCCGGTCGGGCATGGTGTCAAAGTACACACAATCATTGAAATGGTAATGAGGAGTGTAGCAAACAGGTCACTTGACTCCAGGTGTCAAAGCACACATGAATATTTAAATACATGTACATGTAGTAAACAAATGTAGTATTATACAAACAATTTATTAACTCATAACAACCTACTGAAGGAGGTTAAAGGTTACAACAACAACAAAAATTACAGATAAAAATTAATCAAATTACAATGGCTAATAGTTTAAAGACAACCAGAAACAGACTAAATTGAAGTTAGTAACGGAAATATACAATAAAGTAAAATGAAACACCAACACAAAACTATAAACTGAATATAAAAACAAAAACCCAATGAATAGGTTTAAAAAAAAAGTTAATGACTAAGTAGTGCTGCTGTCTAATAGCAAAGCTGTATTTCAGATATGTGCCAGAGGATTGCTAAGTATTATTTGACATTATTTTTATGAATTTAATTTCAGTGTGAGA